GTCCCTCCTGATAACGTATCCAAAATATGAGAGACGAAGTCTTGGCCATCCTTGCTTCTAAGGAGCATTCTGGTTGTACTTCTTCAAGACAGATTTGTGTATTCTTCTGGCAGTCCATGGTATATTCCTTGGTATATACCTTGGCTGGAAGAAAATTAAGTTTGAGTTTTCTAACAAAGTACTTCACATTGGGATGGCTTCAAAAAAGAAAAAACATTCACAAATATATATCCTGTTTTTCTTTATTGTTATTTTTAATTATTCTCTTGCACCATTCTTCATTTTTTTGCTTAGTAACATGTTCTTCCTGCCTGGTTCTTGCTTATGTCTTTCTGGCCTGGCTGCCCTCCTCCGACTGCTTTGTGTCTTCACTTCCTACCCATCTTTTAAGACCTAAATTCGTTTCCTTTGGACCCTTTCCCAAGTCCCAGTTAATGTGCTTTTCTCTCGGCTCCTGTGGCTGTTGTGGTCTGCACCATTTACTTGGCAGTTAATCAGCCCTTGCCTTCTTTCATCTCTCATCTATTTATCTTTTTATGCGACTCTTTCTTTCCCACTTGGTTTGTGGTCAATGAGGACAGTGACCCTGGCTTGCATCTGGCGGGCTGCTTCATAAAGGAGGAAGCTGGATGAGAACTTATTATTTCATTTAGGCTGCTCGTTTTGCATGTGAGGTAATGCAGACACAGGTGAGGTGCTGTGTCCACTGCCACAACTCACTATATGAAACAGAAAGCTGAATGTGTTACTTGTTAATCAAGGGAGAGGCATTTTGAAAGTAAGAGTCTCCTGAGCAAAGAGCTAATCATTTGAAGGAGTTTGGGTTGTGTGCATTTAGGTATTAGTAGATTTGCAGAAGTAGAAGTGTTCAGGGGTTGGTTGACCTTTAACTCTTTTGTGAAACAATTATTTTCTAATTTGAATTTTTGTTGATACCATGTGTTTTCATGCAGAACCATTGAGTGTGTCTGAATTTTTGGTAGGAAGTATGGATTTTTTTTTTCTTGCCTCCTCCCGCAAGCCTACCCTAAGTGTTTAGTGGTACATATGATGTATCACTAATTATACCCCAGAGTCCCCTCCAGGGTCTCTGGGTACATACGTGTAACAAATAAAAATTTTCAGAATTTCTATTTTTCCTACTAAAAATTCAGATACCTCATACAATACCCTGTAAAAACAGTCATTTGTGGCACACACCCATTTTTTCTGTTTCAAACAGTCGTAAAGGCCCCTGTCTTGTGGCAGCACTCACTGTCAGTGGGACAGCAGCTTCCCAGTAAACCCCAGAGGCAGAAAAAGTACTTGGTCCCTAGAGGTACCTGTGAGACGAAAGGTTAACTGTGGGTGTGTGGTTACTGCATTGGACTCTCGTTGATTGGTAGACTGTTGAAGTGTCATCACTGAAGTGAGGCAGCTGGTGGTTGGCTGGCCTTCAGGATCGGTTATATTGATGGGAAGCTGTCGTTAATCAATTAGGTTACATTTAAAACCCACTGCTGTGGCCAAAGAACAGCCATTCTTCTAGGTACATTTTTAGTGGTTGTTAGTTGCCTTTGAGTCGCTTAAGAACTTCTTATTCCCATCTGTCTTGGAATCAGAGATTTTCTAGATTAGAATAAACAACAACAAAACACCCAAACCTATTGCCTTCCGGTCGATTCTGACTCATAGCAACCCTATAGGACAGAGTAGAAGTGCCCCATAGGGTTTCCAAGGCTGCAGTCTTTACGGAAGCAGACTGCCACATCTTTCTCCTGTGGAGCGGCTGTTGGGTTCAAACTGCAGACCTTTCAGTTAGCAGTTGAGCGTTTAACCACTGTGCCACCAGGGCTCCTTAGGTTGGAATAAACCTATCAGAATACAGACCACAGAGCAGATCCCCACCCATCCCAAAATGGGCAAATGAGCATACATTTGTGACCGGACGGCAAATCCCGACTCTGTCGTTAAACAAGCCACTCCATCTCTGTGATTCCCAGTCTCCTATAGGACCTCCCCAAAAGGGGTGGGTGAGATGAAGTTGACATGTATTGAGTTGACATGTGTGAAGTACCCGTCATATACTTGGCACTCAAAGCTTGTTTACTTTCCTAAACTGAACGTTTACGCCTTCATTACAGCCCACAGATCCAGTGTTATGGTTGCCACCCAGGGATAGCATCCATGAGGCGGCGATTTGCGGCTTTGTTCTGTCTTGTTTGGCTTTTGCCTGCTTAGACCATGATTAAGGAGCCCTGGTGGTGCAATGGTTAGACACTCGGCCACTAACCAAGAAGTTGGAGGATGGGACCCACCAGGAGAAAGACCCTGGTGACCTGCTTCTGTAAAGATTACAGCCAAGAAAGCCCTATGGGATAGTTCTGCTCTGTCACACGAGGTCTCCGTGAGTTGGAATGGACTCCAGGACACCCAGTAAGATTGTGATTAGCTTCCGGAGCCCCAAGGCCTTTCCCAAGCTAGGTGCTACCTCCTGTCTCTGGACTGGCGGTTTTCAACTCTGGCTGCCTGTCAGAATCACCTGGAGAGCTTTCACAGACTGTTGATACCTTGGCCTCACCCTGGAGATGTTGATGTAATTGGTCTGTGGTAGAGCCCAGGCAAGTGCGTCTTTAACCCTTTCGTGCCCAGCGGCACATATAGCGACCATGAGCTTTTCAGCTCCTGGGGTTTATTGGGAGGTCGCTGTACCACTGATAGTGTGTGCTGCTGCAAGACGGATGCCTTTAATATTGTTGGAAACCAAAGAAACAGCTACGCGCTGCAAATGATTGTTTTCACGGGGTATTGTATGAGATGTCTGAATTTTTGGTAGGAAAATAGAAATTTTGAAAATTTTTGCTTGTTACACATGTGTTCCAGTAGACCTCAGTGGGGACCCTGGGATATTTGTATTTCATATGCACCACTAAACACTTAGGGTAGGCTTGTAGGAGGGTGTAAGAAAAAAAAAATGCATACTACCTACCAAAAATTCAGACATATTCAATGATTCAGCTGTTTCCATTAATGAAAACACATCATATCCACAAAAAAAATTCAAAGCAGAAAATAATTGGGTCACCGAAGAGTTAAAGTGCCCCATGTGATGTAATGTGCAATCAGGGTTGAGAACCACTGAAGTAGACCGTGCCCAGCCAGCTCCTTACTTGATTGCTGTTCGTATAAACCAAATGCTGTTAAGTTGATTGCAACTCATAGCGAGCCCACAGGACAGAGTAGAACTGCCCCTTAGGGTTTCCCGGAGCGGCTGGTGGATTCAAACTGCTGACCTTTTGGTTAGCAGCCCATAGCTCTTAACCACTACGCTACCAGGGTTTCCGCTGTTCATGTAGTAGAAAATTAATAACTACTTTTGTTTGGTTAGGTCATGATTGGTCTTAAGTAATGGACTGTTCTTATTAGAAACTTTTGAAAATTGTATAATGAAGAAACAAACCTGGTTTTCAAATGGAATAGTCTCTGAACTGCATTCTTCTTACTCTAGCCCCTCTCATTATTATTTAAAAAAGAACCACCTGTATGACTTTCTAAACACATAAAGGTCAGGTTAGAGAGATCCATGGTTATGGACTTGAGATTTTTAAGATAACAAAATTGCTTCTTTTTGAAATGAGCTTTGTGTAAACGATATCCTCTTGGATATTTTATACATTATGCATAAGTTTTATTAAACATTTCCTTCTTCCCGAAAGGTTTGTTATCTGTAAATTTGGAAGTTAATCCGTGTTAGAGGAGAGCATGTATTATGTATAAATTTCTTCAGTGTCTAGTAGAAAGTGTCATGTTATTTAAAAATAGTACTTAGGCGTCCAAGGAATTATTGTACACAGGTGCTGTCTGTAATCCTGAAGTCACCCCTGTAAAATAATGAGAGCTCCACCCTGTCAGGGGTGAAGGGATTTTTAAATTAAGAGTCTGTCATTCCTTTCTTCCTAGTTTTAGGGAAACATCTAGTCAGTTGAAGGACTAAATATTGACTTTTTCTGATGAAAGAATACTGGCCTGTCTTCTACATAATAGGCATGAAGTCGCTGAAATAGATGATAACTGTATATTCATTTTGGGAACCTTGGTGGTGCAGTGGTTAAGAGCTCGGCTGCTAAGCAAAAGGTTGGCAGTTCAAATCCACCAGCTGCTCCTTGGAAACCCTATGGGGCAGTTCTACTCTGTCCTATAGGGTCGCAGTGAGTCGGCATTGACTTGACGACAACGAGGTTATATTCATTTTAGTTATTCATGTACGCTTTTGCTGAATATTTAACGAGATACATAATATACTGTATTAGTTTTAATAAACTTTTTATTTGGGGGAAAATTTTATATTTACAGAAAAGTTGCAAAGATACTCCAGAGAATTCCTGTACACCCTTTACCCAGCTTCCCCTGTTGTGAACATCTTACATAACACTTGTGCATATGTCAAAGCCAAAAGATAAACATTGGTGCATCACTATTAACTAGACTCCAGACATTCTCGGATTTCACCAGTGTTTACACCAATTTCCTTTTTCCGTTTTAAGGATCCAGTCTAGAATACCACATTGCATTTAGTACTACATTTATTTTAATTTACAGGAGCAGTTTGGGTGTGTTGTGTTTATTAAATATGTTCATAAAATTCAACATATCCTGAGGAAATGGATGTAAACATGTCAGCTATAAGGAGCTGGTGTTATTTCATTGAATGAACACATGCAATTATATTTTTATTTAGATTTTTTGTTGAAGATTTGTTTTTGTTCTTGGCAGAGTATGCAGAATCCCCAATGTATAGCTAGCAGTAACATAGGATTTGTTATAGAAGTTTGCTGTTTCTAAACAAAATACTGAAGCGTGTTGAAAGAAGGTCATTTTAAGGTTGCATATTTCAAGACCCAGGAGAAAACTGGTTGCAGAGTTGTAATAAAAGCTGTAAATGCATGATTTTTCAAGTTGATGCAAAGGACGAATTGTCTGAACGGTTCTCTGATGAGTGTCTCCAAATGTTTTGCTGGCAGAAGGACTCCATGAAAGATGACAGAAGAAGTGATTGTTATAGCAAAGTGGGATTACACCGCTCAACAGGATCAGGAACTTGACATCAAGAAGAACGAGCGCCTGTGGCTGCTGGATGACTCCAAAACATGGTGGCGGGTGCGGAATGCGGCCAACAAGACGGGGTACGTGCCGTCCAATTACGTGGAAAGAAAGAACAGCTTGAAGAAGGGCTCGCTTGTGAAAAATCTTAAAGACACACTGGGTAAGTGTCCTGTTCATTAGGACCCAGATGATAAACATAAATATTTCCCATTATGGAAAGGGAAGACCTTGTGCTTTGTTCAGGGGAGGTTGTTCATCTTTTTAGTTTGTTCTTTGGCATCTTTCTAGTTGGCTTTTTTTTAAAAATCTCTGAAAATTAAGAGATCAAGCTGGAGGATATCATGTTTGTCATTTCCTGGAGATTTTAGAGTTTGTAGTCACATGACTGTTGACACATCTGTGTGTTTTGGGCCCCTGCACATGTTTCTCTCTCCATGCCTCCGAATTCAAGAGGATCCTGAAATGGAATGACCATCTCAGAAAATGTCTACCGCCCTGCCCATATCTTTCCATCAAATCTGTCTAAAGTGTGTCATGTATAGCTTTCTGTCTCTTAACAAAGTCTTTTCCACTTGTCCTTTATGCATAGAAAAAGAGATAGCAAAAAGCCGGGTGAATGTCCTCCCCCTCTTAAATTAATGACCTTTCATACCACAGTCCCGGGCAGTGTTAGCTAAGGTGGCATCAGGGGCCAGCACCAGTGTGACGTCACAGGCCGTCTGAGGGCACTGAAGTGGAGACTGCTGGACCTTAATTCAGGCATCTTGTTGCCACGATTTCTTTCTGTGAGCCTCTTTCCCTTCCTTGTTACCCTGGTATGAGGACACAGGAAAAGTTACCTCAAGTTAAAGGTATTGTTGCCTCATTCTCTGAGTATGATGGTGGTTGGTATACCTGAGACTGCCGATTATCACTTAAGAGTTTGCTGTTGAAGTAAGTATATAGCACTTCAGTATTATCACCCATGTTACATTTACTTGGGTTAAGGACAAATGTAGTACCTGTTCTTATCCAGGAGCCCTGGTGGCTCAGTGGTTAAATGCTTGGCTGTTAATTGAAAGGTTGGTGGTTCGATCCCACCCGGCAGCTCTGTGGGAGAAAGACCTGGCAATCTACTTCTGTAAAGCTTGCAGCCTTGAAAACCCTATGGGGCAGTTCTCCTCTGTCACATGGGGTCGCTATGAGTCAGAATCGACTTGACAGCACCAAACAACAGTTTCTAACAAGAGGATTTGTTTCATTTGGGGTGGGGGGGCGGAACATGTGGGAAAACTAAAAAGAAAAGTATACAGTGAACGTGGTGGATGTTGGCAGAGTTCATAATCTTTCATTTTATGCAAACTTGAAAAGTCTGTTAACTCTTCAAGTCCTTGAAAGCCTTTATTCATTGGGTGGTATTTTTGTGCTGTAGATTAGGTTATTCCCAGGATTTGGCAAGAGATAGGAGACACAGGACTGCGTATGAATCACATGAAACTATCAGTGATTATAGATTTTTAGCCTGACGTAGAAATTCCATTTTGCACTGGCATTTTGGTTCTTTTTTCACCAAACTGTCTTCTCCTTTTTATCTCCCCCGCCCCGCCCCACATAAGTATGTCACTTGAAAGAAGCACTATTGCCTATGCATTGAACTCTCAGTTAACTGGTACAGAAGTGAGGGTAGCCCAAACAGATACATTCTTTAAGATTGCCCTGAGGTTAACTTTATTTATTGTCTCCAATTTCAGCCTCTTACCTACTTTTTTGTAGAGATACTAAACATTGTTGACTTGTGTATGTGTATTCTCAAGATTCTAGTAAGCATGGGATTCCCAGAAATTGACGGAAGTAGAATAAGACATGACAAGCACTCTGGATAATCTAGAAACTCCCTTGAGTAACTTAAATTGTCCTTTTTTTCCCTTCAGTTTTCAGAAGGGAAACAGGCAGAGCCTCAGACTGAAACGATTAACATCTTTCATCCAGTGCATTTAGATTTCTTCCTGAGCTGTGATGAGTTAAATGCGTTCATTTGCCCCAGACTCTCAGAATTAGATGAGACAGACTCAGCCAGCTCCCCCGTGCGCCCGTCCCTGACAGATGGCCACCCAGCCTCTGCTGGAACACTCCTGCTTTTAGAGTCGGCCAGTTCCATTTTTGGCGAACACAGATTGTTAGAAAGTTCTTCCTTAAATAGCATCCACAGTTTTGCGTTTCTTTAGCTTCCTCCCATTGGTTCTTATTATGCCCTCTAGGGTTGGGCTGAGTAAATCTGATTTATCTTTCTAGAATGACAGCTCTTCTCCAGTCTGCAGTCTAAATTCCGTCACACATCTGCTTGGAAACATTTGTACCGAGTATTACGTATTTTAAACATAGAAGTAATATTATGCTTTGAACATCCGTATCTATTAGTAGTGGGTGGTATTCATAGTCTAACGGCTCTTGAGGATCAGTGTCCCACACTGTCCGGGAGAAATTCCCCCCACTTTTAGTATATCGTGTTTGTTTTGATGTGTTTATCGTGCTCACCTGCAGCCGCCGTTTGCTGGTTGAAGAGGGACCTTGTTATCTCAGCATGAGTTTTCCATTGCCCTGTTGGGCAGGATCAAATAGAACAGGAGAGACTTATTTCCCCATAGCCTAACTCGCAGTAAAAGCTTCTAGATGAAGGCATCGTTGTCAAGCAGAAGGGTGAGAACACTTTCTGGAGCCCCTTCTGCCTCCCGCTAGTCTCCATTGCTAAAAAGATGAGAGCCACAGTGTTCAAGGGCCTCCCGTTTAAATGACTGTCACTGGTGTGCTCTCAGAATTGCAGTGTGCTTTCAGACCGATGGTGTGGCAGCAGAAATGATCTCTGTTGTGTATTAGAAGGAGTGAAATCAACATTGAAAACTACACTGCATATGTTGACCTCCTAATACCTGCTCATGGCATCATCCACGTCTGTAATTTTTACTGCTGTGAGACCTCATCTAATTCCTAAATTCTATGGTGAAATTTCCTTGGCAGATGCTTGGTTTGGAATAAAGCAGCACCGTACTCCCCAACAAACCCTGGGTGATGTATAAGTCGCAGCGTTGTCTCTGTGTACATCACTGATTTCCAGTGTCTGTAACTCTATAGCTTTCTGTCCTGGTTTGTGATACTCATTTGTTGAGTATCAGAAAGCAGGATGGATTTGGTAGTAAATTTAATTTTCTCACGTCTAATACTTTGTTAGACTAACTTCAAGAAAACAGTACCTTTGACAAAAAGATCACTCTGTTAGGAAAGGATAATCTTAACATTCTTTTCTTTTAATAATTTATAATTGAATAGAACAATATAAGCTCTTATTTTCACATGGGCAAAACATTTGTGTACTGGATCACCTCTTATATTCAATTTATGATCCTGAATAGTCACAGAGAGTTTTTCCTTGGATAACAAGGAGTGACTGTCAAGAACTATGTCGGCAGAACCCAGTTGATACTTTGAAGGGCTCAGACCCATTTTGCACAGCTCTGTTCAGCCGTCGGGGTTCCTGTGCTGTTGTCTGGGCTTGATGTTGGAACTTCACTTATAAAATCTGTGTGTTAAGTGTTGTAAAAGCTCCAGGATAAATCTTTCTGAGATGGCAAAGCTGCTGAAGCTGCACCCAGCTGGGATTTTTCAAAGATTTTTCTTCAGGCTACTAAAGAATAGTTTCTGTTACCATTGTATGATCCCAGCTGGAATCCCCTAAAGCCTCAAAGGTCATCCTCTTCTCAGTGGTTAATTTAGGTGCCGTCCTGGGCTACCTAAAAAGATACGGTCTAATAGTAATCTTTCCTGGGAGGGCTTGTTCAAAGACTCATATACCCATGGCTATCCAGTGCCTTCATAGGCATCTGGAACTAGAAGTGGCCTGCCACCAGGGTTGTTCCTCGAGCGTTTGTCCCAATGTGACTATAAAAAAAAGTTCTTGTTGAGCCGATTTCAACTCTTGGTGACCCACGTGTATCAGAGTAGAACTGTGCTCTGTAGTTTTCGACGGCTGATTTTTCAGAAGTGGATCTCCAGGCCTTTCTTCCAAGGTACCTTTGGGTGGACTTGAACCTCCAACCTTTCAGTTAGCAACCGAGAGTGTCAGCTGTTTGCACCACCCAGGGAATCCAATGTGACCATATACCTGAGGCCAGTTAGAAATCTGCCAGTGATTAGCACCAGGATCTCTGTCTAGCTCTGTGATTCTAAGCCAGCATAGAGAGGATGATGGAAGAAACACCTTCACGTTTCTTAACTGTAGAATAACCTCTGTCCTGGTTTGAACTGATGCCACTGGAGGAGAGATGGATTCTCTGGGTGAAATTGACAGGCTTCTCATAGGCATATTCATGCTAAACACTGACTTTGGAATTGAGACACAAAAGAGCACATACTGCTTGCTCTCATGTATATAAAGCCTAAAAACGGGTAAAACTCATCTTTGGTATTAGGAGTCAGGATTAGGATTATTTGGGGGAGGGGGGCAGAGTGTGAGGGAGGGCGTGAGATGCCTCTGTGTGTCGGGAATGTTTTGCTTCTGGAGCCGGTCATAGGTGTAGGGTCCTTCTTGCCATAATAACGTTGAGCCATACGCTTATTTCTATAGGGGTTACACTTCAGTTTTTGAGAGATTTATTTTAAAAAATAAGTCATTGATTCCAAACAACCACAACAACAAAACATCAGAACTTTTAGAGAGCCTGATGGAAATATGCAGAGGCATAGACCTGCATTCGAGTTGCTTTTTCAGTTGGGAAGGAGGAGAAAGTGATCCCACAAATTAATTCCTGCTTTCCTAAGTGTGTGGTGTTGTGATTGTGAAGATGAGGACATGGGCTAAGTCTGGTGGGAGTGGAAGAGGAACAGCACCTCAGTCTGCGGGAAGGACCCTGTGCAAAAGGTGGTTTCCAAACGCAGAATCAAGGCTGGTTGGGGGACTGCCAGGCAGGGGTGGCGGAGCATTCCAGGTGGGGAAGCAGCAGTCATCCGTTAACCCATGTTTACTGAGCATGCCTGCTGAGTGCCGGTCTCAGTGCTGCATGTGGGCGCAGGGTGAACTGGGTGGACACAGTCCCTGCTCTCGGGCAGGTGATGTGTTATGCACAGGTTTAGGGGCCTGGGAGACCATGGTAAGCATCAGAATGGTGACTGGTATAGCGTTTCTGGAAC